AAAAAGGGTTAAAATTAAGGTTTGTGGCTAATTTTATTAATAGAATTTCGACGTTGATCACCAAAAAATTTCGGAAATTACACTTCCCAATCGTTTAATGTGACAAATCGTTCGACTAATAATTATTTTAAAGTTATAGTAAAGAAAATTAAAATTACCACAATAATATTCATTCTGTTGAATCCTTCATGAAATTGTTCCAATTCTTGCTTTCTTTTATTAATGACTTCATATTGGGCTAAGTAGTCAACCAAATTTTCTTTAGATAAAATATTTAGGAATGACATCTAAATAAATTTAAAAGCAAAAATGGTAAAAATTTTTTTCCATCACATTTATTATTATTAGGTATATAATATAATCAATTGAATAATACTTTAATATCATTTGATTCCATCCAAGATTCTAAATGATCAATGTTGCTCAAATCAAAAATTTCATTATTTTGATTTGTAATTCCCATAATAATCTTATTTACAATCAGTGACATTTCTTCTATAACTTGTTGATAATCAATTTTTTCACCCAAGCAGTATTTAATATGAAAGGGGTGTAACCAATGTGGAAATGGCCCACCATGAAGCATACTCCAAAAAAGTAACGAGCCAAAAGATTTATACATTTCATGATAATTTAGCATAATTGGATTGTTGGAAATAATATAAAAGTTTGAACCAACTGACTCTTCAAACAAAGGTCCTGATTTGTAAATTTCATCTAAATTATATGAAGAAACCAAGCTCCAAAACCTTCCAACTGTGTCTCGAAATACTCCACCTGCATCTATTGCACTAATAAATACAAATCCAAATTGATTAGATCAGCTAATTTCATTTAACCAAAATTTCAATTAAATTATTAATTACCTTTCATTAACAAGGTTAATTTTTGGTTTTGACAAAATTTCTTCATCTGATGCAGATTTAATCCATTTAATTAATTCTTGAAGTATGTTATTCAAATTAATATATATATTTGTCTTTTTGTGTTTAATATTGTAATTTTTATCATATATTTCATACAATCTTTCAGTAAATTCCATAGAATTTGAAGAATTTTGATCTGGATCTTGATTATCTATTTCAATATAAGGTTCAATGGTACTGCTAGAACTAGAAAATCCTACATCATTCAAAGAGGAGTTGTTGTTTGTAATGTTGTTTGAATTAACTTGCTGATTTAATAATAAAGAATTAATATCAATTGGTTTGTTAGTTGGACCAATGTATAACTTTTTATTTGAACCAGCTACTCTAAATAATTTAATAATATATACAAATTTAGTATTTTCCTTTAATTCACTTATCAATTTTATGGAAATAAAAAAAGATTTATATACTTTGTTAACACTTGTAAAATATAACCATTTAATCCTGGTTGAAGGGGGAAAAGGTCAGCACCAGCAGGTTTGTAAAATGTCCAAAAATTTTTTTCCAGAGTTTCGAATTCAGATTCAATAGTTGAACAAATGATTGTACTGGATTCACCAGGAAAAATAATTTCCTTAATAAAATTTAGTTTAACTAAATTTTTATAACTATAAAAACACTTCTGTAAGTATGTTTAATTAATTTTTAAAACATCTGTTGCTAACAATACTTACTATTCTGTACCAGCTCGAGGGATCTTTGGTGGTTTTAATACATCATATATATCTTTTATACAAATTATCGTGAAACAAATATTCTTATGGTTGTTGCTAAACTCATTGAAACTAGTTTTGATCCATGTCTTCTTTTATTATTAAAAGATTGATAAGGATTGTATTTTAATGTTTCTGTTGCAAGTTCACCATATTGATGTGGGTGAGCATAATTGATATGATTTTTAATTGGTGAAAATGCATTCAACTGGCTAACATTAGTATTGTATGCAGGTGAATATTTTCTAAATGATTACAAGTTTGGCAAACATCATTAGTATCTGACTTTGTGAAAGTCCAACAGTTACATTTATTGCCATTATCAAAAATAAATTGACAATTAGAGTAGTTGGAATTAATAATATTAAACATTTTTTATAAAAAATAATATGCACAACCCCTCATACCTTTTTACAAAATTACTTATGAATTTATTACTTAAACAGCAGCATCAAATTTAAATGTAACATGTATCATTTTTTTATAACAATAGTATCATTTTTTTAACAACAATATCATTTTTTTTAAATGGTGCACACCATAAATTAAACAATGCACACCATAAATTAAAACAATGCACATCATAAATCAAAATGACTTTTGAATTGTTTGGCTTGCCATATTATACAAACAATTTAAAAGGATTTATTTTTTCGAGTTGAGACAAATGGAAGCAACACAATTAAAAATAACTATTGCTATTACTATGTTGCATTCAATTCGCCTCTTCTCCAAACAACTTATTTTGTTTTGTTTTTTTTTCAAATTGATTATCATTTTTAAAAAGCAACACGCCATTATTATTATTACTATCATACAAACAATTTAAAAGGATTTATTTTTTCGAGTTGAGACAAATGGAAGCAACACAATTAAAAATAACTATTGCTA